GCGATTTCACATTTTACGATTTTACATTTCACAATTATTAATGCCACAGTGGTTATTAGATCCTATTATCTTTCATAGATTCACTCATTACTAATTAACGGTAATCTTGCAGTTAAAATGTTTATGAAAAGAGGCCGGGCCACACACCAACCTCATGTTGAGGCTTTCCCCTGCCTTCGGCTGAGGTTCACCACGAGCCGTAGTCTGAGACTTACCCTGAGGTTGAGGTTCACCCCCGGTTCATATGGAAGCCCGCGCCGTGGGGTCGAGGCTCATCCACAGATTACTTTGTGATTTGTAGACCTTTCGTCGTAAACATCTTCACTATAAGACTAACTTAATTAGCTCGATTCAGATTTCTTGTCTGAAGCATCGGGTTGCGGTACGAGAAAAACTGAATCGCCATGTCAAATCCGAAGTATGTCGGTATATTGTTACACTCATTTCCTATACATATGAACTTATAGATTTAATTCCAATGTCTTGATTTTAGCAGAGGGTCAGTCCATTTTGAGAGCATGCTCTTTTAATGTACTTGAATTGCAGATGGGATTTTTATCAAACAGAATCACATATAATATTGAATATACTTAAACGTGGTGTATCACTGGACGAATGCAAAGTGAAATATGCCAATCAGTTTATCGACGTTTTAGTCAATGATGCATCAATATTTCATTTGGAATTATTGCATCCCATTGATTCTTCAAACCTACAAGTTAAATGCACGCCATCTAAGGTAGACTGTAGATTAATCTCATTTAAGTTTATGAAAAAAATTCATCTCAATAATCTCAAAAAAATCAATTGAATTTTTGCAGTAGAGTAGTTAAGATTTTTCTCGCATTATTCAGTTTGATGAAGTGATGAGAACTATCGTAAATTGATATGCCTTCTTACGTTGAGTCTCCAAAGATCACCCAACAATAAGTCATCATTTTTTTGTATGTTGTATTGTTATTATTATCACTGTTATTATTTAGACTACAATAGTAAATTGGGATAAATTTGCGAAAGAGGTCGACGAAGAAGAGGATAAAGTGGAAGGTGACGACGCTGTCAATCGAATGTTTCAGGTCGAATTCTGAATCAGTCTAAATTCAAGTCGTTTATTGTGAATTGATTGGCTTTTTTTCTCATTCTCAGTTACTTCGAATTATCGTACTGCTCAAAACATCCAACAGTCAAACAAAGAGTTACTTTTGAATATTCTTCTTCGTGCCAACGTTTTCTGTCCTGCCAAAAGCAATAGTCTTCTGTCATTAAGTGAAACTGTATTTGTTATTAATGGAAAGTTTGGATTGGTTCCGTCCTCCGTATTTCCCAAAAGATATCGAGGAATCGACCCTCGACGTCTTTTGATGATAAACGACTAGCCTATCAAAAAGATGTAAGAATTTTGAAATAGATGTTTGATTGCAGAAAATCTACGCAGAGGCGGATGATGATGTGAAGAAAGCAATGCTGAAATCGTATACGGAAAGTGGTGGCACCGTATTGAGTACGAATTGGAATGAAATTAAGAAGAAACGAACCGAAATCAAGCCACCCGAGGGTATGGAATTTAAACGGTGGAATGATTGATTCACTTCAAGACTCGATCATTGTTTTCATATCGTTATTGTTTTAATTCTTTTGAAAATATTGTTCAGCTATAAATAACGTTATCCTATTCCTTTGTATTATAATAATTGAAAGTCTATTAATGGTGCGTCGATTATAAAGAAGTTTTATGATATTTTATTGTTGCGAATTCATATCACATGTGAAAGCTTATTGCATCCACTAGAAGCCCTTCGCATTGTTTGTATGTGTCAACGTCTCGTGAATTAATTTCGGTTGAAGTGCAAACAGTATCAGCCACAAATGACTGTTGTTGGCACTGTCTGCCGGTGTTCTCTTGATGACGACATTTTTCGCATTTTGATTTTGATACGTCTTTTGAACCGAGTGAAGTGGATATTGTAATCTATCCGGTCATGATAACCGATAATAATTTTGCGCTCTATGCAAATAAAACTATAAAAATTTTTTGAAGCACTTTTTAAAAAATAACTGATGCCTCTGAATGTATAGTAACTGCTGCTACTGCCCAATTCGCTGAATATTCGTTGATGAAGAAAAGGGCTTTAAGGGTCGACGGCTGTTTTACTGAGGAAGTGTGAACCGTAAAAGTTATAAGAATAAAATATTGAAACAGTGAAGAATTTGAACTTTTTTATCGAAAATGAATTAAAAGAATTTACATTCACATAATAGTGGTGAATTTATCGCGGCCATCAGACACGGCTACGATTCTGACCATAGCAAGCCATCGAAATCGATAAATTTTTGTTTGTTTTTGAAAAACAAAATAGCAAACTAAAGAAATACAGACTGAAAACAGCAATCATCAAACGACATAAATACAACGATACGAACTTCTCGCTAGGGAACATGCATTCTANACTTTTGCAATCACCGTCATTCATGATTCGTGATTATCGTATTGGGCTCTTGTGGAACGACAAAAGTTTCACAAATTATGAATAATTTTGGATTTGACTAAAGTATGGTCCCCAGTTACGTTTACTAACGAATTTTTGGTTGAATTAAATAAAAATTACCACAGAAACATAATTAAGAAATAATTCACATTTGATTATTTTTGAACACAACATCAATCACTATTTTTTAAAACATTTTAGATTTAAGAGCATTGAGGAACTCAATGATCAACATTTACAACCCTGGACACATTGGAAACGATTACAAGCAATTCAATACAATTAAGCCAGCTAAGAATGAACGGTATGAAAGAATCAGAAGAAAACTGAACAAACACATTTTCGACATGAATATCACTACTGTGAAGGCACTTCTCAGTGTTTATCTGAAGCAAATGATTAAGAAGAAAACTGGAGCGTAATTCTGAAAGAGACAATAAATGCTGTAGAAAGAATCACGTGGCGATGGAATGAATGTGCGTAATATTACGTCGAATTTCTCTCCTATTAACAAGCATCTGAATTTACTGCAAAATAAATTTTCTCATCTCTGATCACTGAAGAGGGAAATGTTACGGGATCGAGCAATCACACTGATTTCTCAGCA